GAAGGATGCTTTAATGATCCTGGGTCCATGAGATTCCCATCCTATTAGTGCCTTTTGTGCATGTTTGGACAGCATCAATGCAACTCCTTGTGTATGTGAAGCATTTTCCTCTTCATGACCAGAGTATAACAGCAGTTCCCCTGAAGCTAGTCTCAGTTGTCCTACTTGTGTCCAATGTGTTTCACTGATTCCAAGCACCTCGAGGTTGTATCTTCTCATTTCTGCCGCAACTTGAAATAGTCTTCCAGTCTCCCACAATGTACGAACGTTCCATGTACCTAAAAAAATGGTTGCTCTGGTTGTCAGAAGAGGCATCAGCCCCGTGACTTCCGAGGGAACTCGGCTTTCATCACGCGACGTCATAATTCTTCCTCCAACTCCCAGGGCAGAGTTAAAATGGTTTGAATTATTTTTTCTGGTTAGCGTTTTTTTGGCAAGTTAGTTTTTGACGGAATGGGGTCGCCAACCCCATGTCCAACCCTCCTCCTTTATCCGGGCTTGGGACCGGCAGTAGCCCCGAAGGTTCTACTGGCGGAGTTATATATGTGTAGTGCCTTATATTTAATTTGGTTAAGCCTTTCGATTAGCTTCATTAACCAAGCCATTTGTATAGCAACAACTTATATGTACCATTAGCTCTTATTATTGTCTGGTTTGTATGAGCTGGTATGCCTGAACATGGCTGATCAACTACGCACATATTCATCCTATTCGCTTAAATGTTAATCTCCTAAATATCTCGATGACTCAGGCATTTTTACTATGTATATATATTTACATTTTGATCTTATTAATACATTCGCCAACTCGCTCACTCGCTAGCGTACTTACCCTTCTCTGTGTGCCAGTGGCGTGCTGTTCTATTTGTTGTGTGCCAAAATAAACGTATTCAACACTTCGTATTCGTCTTCTGATTTACAAATCGTCAGAATCTGTTTAGTAACGATTGTTCGGACGAGCAAATTACGAAGTCTAAGAGCACGTTCGATACCGACAGTCATGAAACTAGTGATTTATTGCTCACCACAAAATATTTATATATACATACAGATGATTGAAATGTATGTGGTAGATTTTTCTAAGACTTTTTTTCCTTCACTTTTTGAAAGTTCTAAACAACGCATAATATTTTATACTCCAAACATTATTATTGACAGTTTTAGAAAAAGCCTTTTTATTCTTGCTCTGTTTGAAATAAATTTATAAAACGGGAATCCAGGATTAGCAATAAGCTAAGAATAATATGCTGATGATTAAAGATAGCTTGTACACAACAAAGTCAGTGACTAACTAAACTCAGTAGCTAATCGAATAACGCGTTAATGTTTAGGACGAAAAGTTCTGAATTGAACATAAATTCTGGGTTCAAAGCAGGAAGAAAGGCACTTCTTTGGTCCCGTTAAAAGCTATATTCCATCGACATAAAGTTATGTGACTATCAAACTCTCATTACACTTATCTGTTATTTAATCTGGTGACAGTAAACCTGATTTTTTCCTCTTTTTTATAAAGTTTGAAATTATGAAATAGTTCTTTGAAGTTTTCTGGTGGACTAATTACAATGATTGATAATAATCAACTACTGATATTGAAAGTGCTAATTTGTCTAAGATAGTTTTTGAACTTTGATTAAGTAGCTTGTAACGGCGTAAACCTATGATGTATTTTCGAAAGTAATGTTGGGGATGTTAGTTCCCCAGAACTTACTTGATAAATGCCTTATTTTGGATTTCACGTTGGCGAGAATGGGCTGATCAGTTGGCCTTGAGATTTCATTTCTCACCAGGAAATTCCTTGGTTGTGATTGGTTGCAGTGTATTTTAGTGTGCCATTTTTGTGACTGTCCCAAGGACGTTTTGTGATGTATAAATAAACGAGATTTGTAAGCTTGATTGCGCTGTGCTTGCTGGGTGTTTGTAGAATATAGTTTCTATGCTTATCAAGACTTCTCTTTAGCCGTTTCAGATCAATGTAGCCTACTTGTACGCTGGTTCATTGTCTCGTTCACGTTTATAGACTAAGGTGGATCCGTAATACTTCAAGCGTACCTAGTAACGAACTGAACAAGTAAATAATTAGAATCTTATATTGGAAGCTATAATTACTAATGACTGACAGAAATGAACTAGCTCTGATAAGTATGGTCATTTCAGCGTAATAATCACAATAATAAATCATACTTTTAAGATTGTTTTGTCCAGAATGACTATTGTTGTCATATATTTAAGTGGCGAGATAGTTTCTATAATATCAGTATGTAATGTCATGCCTAGGCTGAATTATTCAAAATTTAAACAATGTCATTGAAATCAGTTTCAAAGTACTAAAACTTGTCTTCAATGTTTGATAACTAACATGTTACTGACGTTCGATTGTATGGTGTTAAATTGGAACAGTGAATTTACTGGTTAGGCGGTGTTCTGATCTCAAACATTAGATTATAGGTTCAAATATAATCCGCTTACTTTCATTTAAGCAGCCAAATTATTATTGGAAACTCCTCCATCTGAATTGCATATTCAATGCTGTGTACATATTTTCTTAACTGGTGAATGAGTTGCATAGTATTCAATGTTAAAACACTGAAACAGAATCATAGGCATAGCCATATCTCTGTGTATATTCTAGACGTCAGATATAAAACATTATGAACTGCTTCCATTTGTAACAACAAGTTGTGAATGTGAAATTAGACTACAGAATAAGTTTTTAAATGTCACATTTTTATTTCAACTCTCTGATAAGACAGTTGATTTAACTATTCATGAAACTTTCAACTTGAAAATAAGATCAACCAATGAACCACTTAAGTAAGTGTTTATATGAATTAAAACTAAGCTTCTCCTAAATCACCATAAAAATACTCATTTTTTGGCAAGTTTTTTGGCTTAAGATAAATGGTCATGAAGTGCAGAATCAGACTAAGTCAATCTATCCTGCTGCACTCACTTACTCCTGAAGTTTAATGCACGTCTCACAGAAGTGAAAACTAGCTTAGGATTTACTGTTAATTGTATTCAATCTAACAGATATTCTAAGGCATACTGGAAGTCATTGCGTCGGAACAGAGTCTATCCCAATGCAAAAACACTTGAAAAATATGCGTCGAATGAAGACGATCTAATCGAAAACAGTATTGTTCGCTTTAGATGTGTTGTTCTAATTTTCACAATGGGAATCTTTAATATTCTTAAGTCTATCTAACTTAAACTAGATAGTTGACTCAGACAGAGGTTTCCTAATGGCTTTTTGTATGAATTTCTTCCGCTTATTTCTTAAGTGGTAAATGTTCTCAAATATTGAAGTTTTCTGTCTACCTGTCATTGATAAATTAGATTTTTGGACTCTATGTTAGTGAATTTAATTGTATATGCAGATTCTAGACTTTGATACAATTAAATTCAATATTTCTGATGCCAAATACCTTTAAAAACTTTTGTTACTTGACTGATTGGCATTATTCAGAGTCCTGTTAAAAACTGGGATGAAGTGGACATCTATTTTGTTTAGATATGAGACTTAATAACGATGTTAAGCGGGCATCCAGTCATATCCAGGAGATTCATGTCTTGAAATTAATCTGTTACTTTTAAACAGCTGAGTTACAATTTAATGTTTCATACTTCCAAGCCCTATGATTTGGCGATAAACACATAAGGATCAATGGATACTACCGACACTAATCCTGTTCCTTACTTTTCCTAAACGTTAGTTTTCATTCTAGTTAATAGATGAGTTTCTTCTTATAAGAAACCAACCAGTATCAACTGCATCCATTATATTTCTCTGTCATCGGATGTGATTTCGCATCACAAGCCAATCTAATTCTAATAGAGAATACAAAAATACATCTTGAAGCTAAACGAAAGTCAGTTGGCTACAACGTAGGACTTTGTACAAACGTACATAAGTTCAAGTCACCATACCACATTCTTCAACTACAGTACAACAAAACAATGTGGATCTATTTATTTTAACCTGAAAACTCCCGAAAAAGTCCAGAATGTTTTTACAATTATTTGAAGCTCATAATCACTGATTTTAACCATTCCGGTAAGCTTCCTAAGCAAAAAAACAAAGTCCTTTATTAAGTAGTAATTTTTTACAAGACAAAATTCTACTTTGTGAATAAAAATAATGAATACAAGTGTTTTTTTTTAAGGACTTATTTAACCAATATCCTCATTTTCAAATGCAAGTCTGGTTAACTTCATTTATAAAGAACTTACCTGGTCTACATGCTTGCGGTACACTTACTTACTTACTTACTTAAGCTTGTTACCCCCAATGGAGCATAGGCCGCCCACCAGTTTCCTCCAACCAACTCTGTCCTGGGCTTCCCTCTCCATTTCTGTACAATGTTTGTTCATTTCTCTCATATATTTCTCTATTTCTCGGCGTAGTGTGTTCTTTGGCCTTCCTCTTTTCCTTTTACCTTGAGGGTTCCATATGAGGGCTTGTCTCGTGACGCAGTTAGGTGCTTTTCGTAGTGTCTGTCCTAACCACTCCCACCGCTTCTTCCTCATTTCCTCCTCCACTGGAATCTGGTTTGTTCTCTCCCACAGTACATTGTTGCTGATGGTGTCTGGCCAACGTAGACAACTGTTAATAAATACTTGTATCTTGTGGATGATGTCTTTCGTAGTTCTCCAAGTTTCCGCTCCATATAGTAGAAGTGTCTTGACATTTGTATTGAAAATGCTGATTTTGGTTTTGGTTGAAATTTGTTTGGAATTCCAGATATTTTTCAACTGTAGAAATGCAGCCCTTTCGCTTACGGTACACACGTTTGTTTAAAATTCATAGTGAAACTGACAACGATTTTTCCTTGAATATTAAATCCAACTTTTTTTTTATTACACAACTTATCTTGTACTTTGTCATTTTTGTTTAACATTGATTAAAATTTCAGATAACACTGTGTTGATTATTTGGAAAATACCACATACAAAAAAAACCGTGATACAATGTTACGATATTCAGTATTTCATGTGTTAAATATGAATGAAAATGATGTAAAGCACCAGTCGCGTACATCATTACCTTCAGATACTTTAATGACAATGTCACCAACAAAAATGAATACATCTTATTTAATTCTTAAAAATAATCATGAAATTGATGAGATTGCCGTGAATCTTGATCAACAACAACTCAATGAAAAGTTAACATTGAAACATTTGACAGGCGATCCGGAATTTGTTGACAATTCAAATCCAATCGAATCAACTAAAATAGCTAGTTTAATTGATGAACCACCGAAACGTCCAATTAAAGGTTATCAGCTGTTGAAAAAGAAATTTCGTCTTACACGTGATGCATTTGGCGGTGGTTTGAAGAGAATCAATAATACTCAGAATAGTAAAACACCACCACCAACAACAACAACAGCATTAACAACTACCTCTACTAAAGCAACTTCTAAGAATGGTACTACTATAACTTACAATAATAATAATAATACTATTAATCATATCAGTACTGAACAAATTCAAAGTAAAATGGACACTTTTCAAAGTGTCAACTTATTAAATGGCTCTAAAAATCATAATATCTCACGAAGAATACGTTCATCTAGTTTCAGTATTGAACAAGAAGATCAAGAACCACATTTATCTATTGAATCAAACAATATTACTCATCATGAAAATATAAACAACAAACATAATCGTCATTATAAAAATAATCATTCAAAATGTCACAATATTAATTATCATAAACAATCATTGTTAACTAAATCTCAGTTAAACATTAAACCAACGAATCATTTAGAATGTTTAAGTTTACAATCAAGTCTTAAACATAGTCAACTTTCTTTATGGGATATGCAAAGAGATTATCCAAGAAATTATATTACATTAGGTAGTAGTATGTTAGGTGTATCTGATAATGCTAGTATTATTACAACAGATGGTTTAAGTGAACAATATAATGATTTAATATCAGCATTTCATAAAATTTTAATTGCAGTCGGTGAAAACCCGAATCGTCAAGGTTTATTAAAAACACCACAAAGAGCTGCTAAAGCTATGTTATATTTTACTAAAGGTTATGAAGAACGTGTTAGTGATGTGTTGAATGAAGCAATTTTCGATGAAAATCATGAAGAATTAATTTTGGTGAAAGATATTGAAATGTTCTCTATGTGTGAACATCATATGATACCATTTATTGGACATGTATCAATTGGTTATTTGCCTAATAAAAAAATTCTTGGTTTAAGTAAATTAGCACGTATTGTAGAAATATATTCACGTCGATTACAAGTTCAAGAACGATTAACAAAACAAATCGCTCTAGCATTAACTGAAGCAGTTAGTCCAAAAGGTGTTGGAGTAATTATTGAAGCTACACATATGTGTATGGTAATGCGTGGTGTACAAAAAATCAATTCTACCACAGTGACAACAACAATGATGGGTGATTTAAAGAATAATTTAAAATTACGTGAAGAATTTCTTCAACTTGCTGGAAGAAAATAATTTTTTACACTGTCTAGAGAACAAAGTTTTTTTTCAATTTGAACTTGTACACATATTTTCGTTTTTTGTCAATGGTGAATGATATTCTAGAATGAATTGAAAATATCACACAAGCAATTTTAAAGTTTCATTTTCGTTTCTTTTATAAATCTACATGTAAAAATTTGATTGGTTCATTCATTTGAAATCAATTGATTAGGACACAGATTAAAAAAAATCAAAATGATCATTTAAATGGTTGAATTTGTGAAAAATATCTTCTTTGTTTTAGTGATTAAACACGTTTTCTGAATCATATGGTTAGCTGCATGTCAAATTAGTGATGCTATATTTCGTGTACTTTGTGTTTTCAGGTCAATCAATTGATTAAGTGTTGATTATTGAGAAATCAGTGTCAAGGTTGGCACTAGTCATATTGATTATAAAATGAGAAAACTTGGATAAGTCAACATCGTTTTGCAACATGATTAGAGTAATAGATTGTAAATACTGTTTGAATTCTTGTTCTATTGTTCATTTGTGTCAGAAGTTTATCGATTCGTTTTAAACTTTTTTTCAATGATACTGATAAACTAATTACACTGAGAGAGCAAACATTGAGATCAGTTCGTTGTTACTGTTGTTTCCTGTTGATCATAAATGAATATGATAATTTCATTTATAACAAAACCCGTTTAGTTTTGTGTTCAAGCTTAATGAATCAGGCGTGGATCCTAGTTGTAATTTTGGGTGTGAGCCAATTAAATTAAATGTTAGGCTTAGAACTGTCTTCCAGTTAAAAAACTGGTTGGGACATGTGATACGTATGCCTAACCACTACCAACTACCTCGATGAGTGTTGAAGTAGGCTGGCACAAATCCATGAAGACATTGACAACTGGATTAAGTTATTTTGGTAAGTCTAAACTACCTCATTGGACTCCGCGAGATGATAGTAATCGAGGGTTAGAGACGCGTTGAATGACATGGCTCAAAATCATTCGCAGTTGCTCAGATGCATCCATTCGTTGTGTTCTCTCAAATCCTAATCTTCTTCTTTGTCCATAATTACTGTCATGCGTCCTTTGTCCACTGGAACTATGACTATATCTTCGCTGGCTTTGAGTTTCTTTAGAGCTTTTCGTTGTTGTGCTGTTATTTGGTTGTTTGTTGTCTCTCTTCCGTCGAGTTAGTGGTACAATGGTTTACTTTGTTTGGTGTTGAGTTTCTTCACTTATTCCTGCTGTTTTGAGTGATGACTCTAGTGTAGCGAAGAATTCGAGTTTTGAAATTTACCTAACTAGATTCTTCCACTTGAATCAAATCTTCGAACCCTCATCTCACTGATAACTGCTAATATTTCTACTATCCCTACTGCCGTAGGATTTGAATTGACAATTGTTTCACTGTGCTAATATGGGTATGACAACCTGAACTGCTATACGTACGTACGAAGTTCTACCTTGTAACTGACTAACTAACTGACTGACTGACTGACTTTCAGTTAAAAATTATATGACTGCATTAAAATATACCCTGCTAAAAATAGATTTACTATCGTTGAAAGATGGTTACTACTTTTTTTAACGTCAAATAGTTTAAAACACTATCCATGAAATGAATGAATGATATGTAAATTCTTTTCAAATATCTTTCTTTTTTTTCTGTTTTTTTTAATCTGCATCCCATTTCTCCTTGTTTTTTTCGCGTATATCTATTTTCGTCTTTTACAACATTCAGTGTACTGGATACATCTGATAGATTTCTCATTGAATTTATGCAAATGAGCCATTTCATGCAGATAAAAACTAAGGAAATTATCAGAAACTCAAAAGAAATGGAAAAACATGAAACATAACATCAATGAATACATGTTTTCTTTTTAAAAGAGGAAAACACAAAATCCGACCACCCCCTTCTTTTCATATGTACTTAAATTTCCACAAAGTGTATAGTCAAGTCACTCTTGTCTAAGGCAGGACGGATATTCATCCTACACACTAAAGAAGCCTATTGCTGCTTTCAATATTCTTATTTTGAAAAGAACACAAAAGGGACTATTAGTAGAGGAGAGTTATGATTTCATTTTTGTGAATAATTTTTGAAGACAACTGATAAATAACATTTAAAATCAAGAGAGAAACAAAAAAAAAATGTAGGTTAGATTGAAAAATAAGATATTGATAGGAAACAAGGAAAAAAAAGGAACCTGTGACATATATACATACTCATTACAGAGTATAGAAAGGACGTGTAGAACGAACAAAAAACTAGTGAAGAAAAGAGATTGGGAAATTCGAAAATACCAAGGAGAATCCTTGACAGACAGACAGATGCAACGTAGAACTTGGTACGTAAGTACATCAGTTCATGTCGCCATACCACATCAGCACAGAGATATAATTGTCAAATCAAATCCAATAGTAGTAGAGGTAGTAAGGGAATTAGAAGTAATCGGAGAGGTTAGGATTAGAAGATACTATTCAAGAAGTATGATTCAGTGAGAAAAGTTTAGAGAGTCGAAACTAGAGGTGTTGAAGAATCCAGAAGATTAGGATTTGAGAGAACACAAAGAATAAATGCACTGGCGCCATTGCGAACGATTTTGAGCAATGTCATTCAAGGTCTCTAACCATCGATTATTATCATCTCGCGGACCCCAACCAGGTAGTCGACAATTACCGACATGGCTCAGTCCACTAGTCAATGACTTCATGGATTGCTGCCATGTTTTGGTCTGGCCGCCCCTAACTTTCTTCCCACCTACTCCTACACTACAAAACAAAGGTCGTCGAGGCAGTCGGTGGTTAGGCATACGCAACACGTGGCCCAACCACCTCAACTGATGAAGTTTCACCACTTCATCAATTGATCTGCCATCCTTGCCTAGCACCCGTTTCCTAACGACAGCATTGCTTACTCGAGCAATGCTTCGAAGACACCTATGATCGAAAACCAGTAACCAACGAATATCTTCTACTCTCACTGGCCATGTTTCACAGCCATATAGGAGTACGGAGCGAACTGCTGTGCAGTACACTCGTCCCTTGATTAGAGAACGGATATCACGCCTACGCCATAAGTGACGCAGGTTGGCAAAAGCCAATCGAGCTTTCTGTATCCGTGCCGAGATTTCGTCAGTCACCAGGCGATCAGCACTGATGAGACTCCCAATATAAGTGAAGCGGTCTACACGTTCGACCACTTCACTCCCTATCACTACTTCAGGTGCCGATGCAACCCAGTCTTGAAGCAACATTTTGCATTTCGAGGAGGAAAACCGCATCCCGAACATGCTTGCATTGTTGCTTAGGGTGGTCAGAAGACTCTGCATTTTGTCAGCGTCTTCACCAGGTAGGACAATGTCATCGGCATATTCTAAGTCAATAAGCGAGCCACCTGGTAGAAGGTCTACTCCAGACAATTTAGACGAGCATAAGGCTGCTACCTTGACGTGGTGGTCGGGCTTGCCTATCGTGATGATCCAACCGAGCTATATTGGCTGGAACTTATGTCCCCGAAGGTTTTACCATGCCAGGCTGGTCGATTGGAGAACGATGAGACTAAAAGCAGCTACTCAAGGTCTGAGGGCGAAGTCGTACTGCTGACTGCAGAGGGGTGTGACAGCAGTAAGGTGTTTCCCTCGGACAACCAGCATCTGCAGCGATGCTGCCTTCTCACAAGGAAGGAAGGGTTAGAAAAGGTCGACCCTAAAAATGTCACACCTCCCCTAACTCACGGATTTCCGTCTCCTTGGGTAAGGGTGCCCACTAAGGGCCTTTAAGAACGGAGCTAATCCTCTAAATACCTTTCATAAAAAGGCCGTGCGTGACCGGCCTCAAGCAGTTGTCCCTTGGGCTCTGCGGTCACGCACCAACACTAATCCATCTTCAAGGAGAATCCTTGAAACATAAAAGACTTTTCTTTGAATTACTTACTCATGTCCACCCCTTCCCCATGTCTAGAAGAATTATTCAGCTCGGAGATCACGACAAACCAGTAGTCTGCATTACGGGGTTGTGAAGATTGCTAAGTTACGCATTTTTGAAACCATGAATCGATCAATGTTAGACCAACACCATTAGAAATCTGCAAGCACTGAAAGACGGCCTTTTCGTCCTGGTATGGGACTCCTCAGCAGTGCGGAGTTTCAAAAATGTGTAACTTAACAATCTTCACAACCCCTTAATGCAAATTACCTGTGCTCACTAGTGACTAGCTTCGTGAAGAATCTTCTCCGAGTTCTAGTGGGAAGACGTGAGACCAGTGAAGTTCAACCTGTTTGGGTGTAGCCAGTAACTACCGAAGACTGTGTATGAGGTTGCGCAACTCCGTGAATTGATCGAAGTTATACATTAACACCGTTAGATACTGACTCCAGTGGTCCAATGGTTAGGCGTTCGCGCACAATACCGTAGGTCCTGAGTTCGGATCCTGCGGGGCGCAGGAGTCGTGGAGTCCCATACCAGGACGAAACGGCCGTCCAGTGCTCTCAGGTTTCTAATGGTGGTCTAACATTGATCGATTCATGGTTTCAAAAATGTGTAACCAGTAGTCATCAAGTTCTTGCATGAGGCATAAGAATATGGTTTATAAGCGGCTTAAACAAGGGCATTTCGTTTCATAGTTCATAATGTCGCTGTTTGTGTTCTACTATTCTGACTTACTGTTTGTTTCTTAACTCTCTCTTTCTCTCTCTCAAACTCATACTTGACATCATGATAAATAAGAGTTATGGAGATTATTGTTTTTTACACAGTGTTGAAATCATCAGTCAATCATTGTTAGACCATCATTAGAAACCTGGAAGCACTGAAAGACGGCCGTTTCGTCCTGGTATGGAACTCATCAGTAGCAGTGCGCATCCACGACTCCTGCATCTCGTAGGATTTGAACCCGTGACCTTCGGTATTGTGCGCAAACGCCTAACCATTGGATCATGATAAATATTTGTCATGAATCAGATTGATTTTTATGAAACACTTTAAAAACTGTTTATAGATGATAAGAAGTCTTTTGGT